CGCCCGCCTGCGCTGCTGCTGCAACAACATCGCCCCCAAGGGGTGACGTTGGCGCTGCCTGCGCCTGCGCTGCTGCTGCCGCAGGGGCAGCTCCAACCGCTGGCGCCGCTGCTCCCGCAAGCTCCCCGGCACTCGGCTGTGCTGCCGGCTTTGCCCGCTCGACGGGCAACGCTGCGGATGACTGGCTGTCTCTTTCCTCATCGCTGCCGATCTCGCCTTCCTCTAGCGCGCGTTTACCAGCGATCCCGCGCAGGCGCTGCGCCCGCCGCGGCCGCTGCGGCGGCTGGGCAACGCGGCGGCCCCGGCTGCGGAACTGTCGCCTCAGCGCTGCGCTCTGCTCCCCGTAATTGGACGCGGTGAACGCGCCAAACCGCCGGCGCGCCAGCTCTTTCTTTACCGCCGGCGGCAGAAACTTCGCGGGCTCGGGCGCGCCCTGTGCCGCCAGCAGCTGCATCGCGCGGCGCCGCGCGCCCGCTGCGACCTCCTGCGCGGCTGGCGTATCCCACCAAGCTTTGACCCCTTCGAATCGCAGGGGGGCTGGCAAGCTGGCCACGGCCTCGTGAAACACTTCGTGCATGTACAGACGGACGAAACCCTGCTGCTCACGTCTGGTTCCAGCGTATCGCAACGGCATCATGTTCGGGGCGCCGGTGCTTCCGCCACCATCGCGGGGCGTCCAGCCCCCGCCAACAACGCGCTCTGTCCACGGAAGCTGCACGCTTTCCGCCAACGTCGGCATGAAACGCCTCAGGCTGCACGACGTGATCAGTTTCCTCTCGAGCGGTGAATTCAGACAAAGGCCGATCTCAGACTGCAGAAACTTTGAGAAGTGCGCGAGACGCCAGAGCTGCCCCGTATCCTCGTGCGCCGCGAGGCCCCTTGGCAGGGGGGCGCCTTCGCCGGCAGCCCCTGCGCGCTTATGCCACGCGTCCCAGAGCACATCCGCTGCGCAACGCGGCTCCGCGGTCCGCACCAGGCACCAATCGAAACATCCGCCGCGCTTTCCGCGGTAACATCTGAACCAGGCCAGCGCTCTCGTCCTTTCAATCGGGTACGACCGTGACAAATGCTGGAATCTCAGCCACCCGTGGCACAGCGCGATCGCTGCAGCGGCGGGAACCTCGAGCCAACCGCGCTGCGCTGCCTGTGCGGCAAGTATCTGATGCAGGAACGATACCATGCACGGCTCGAGCACGGTCGCTTGCCGCAACTCTCCCCCCGCTTTGCTCGCGGGCCGCGCGTCTGGCTTCATCGCGTCTTCGAGCGCGAACGGCGCACCGAGATACTTCTGCAGCCACTTCAACCGATTCCACACGCGCACCCCGGAGGCTTGTTCACCGCACATATGACATATGAACTCGTCCACCATCAGTGTGCTGCCAGCAGCCTCCGCGGAGAGGGGCTCGAGCTGCCGTGCTCGGGCCCACGCCTCCCATCTCGCCCAGACGCGCAGCGCGTCCCGGACCCCCGCGCTCGCGAAGCGCGCCAGCCTCTTCGCCGCCGCGGACCCGGGTCCGCACAAGCGCTGCGCCTGGCCCTCGGGGAGCCCCCGCGCCAAGCCGTGCGCTGGGCCCCAGGACGCGGACAGCTGCACCGCTGCCCCGGCCGCGCTGGCGCGCTGCGCGGCGTCCGCCTCCTCTGTGCCGGAGGCGCTCGCCGCCGCGCGCTGCACGCCGCGCCCCCCTCTTGGCGGGCGCAAGCCAGGGAGGACCATCGCCAGCGCGCGTGGCGGAGCGTCCGCCTTGCGCGCGGGCGGCGCTGACTGCGCCTCGCGGGCCACCCTGTGCCACGCTGCCACTCGCGGATGCCCCGCGAGCTGCCGAGCTCGCCGCCACGCCTCCTCCTGTCCCGAGGCCGCGGCTGCCTCCACCGTGGTAAAGAAAAATGCCAGGTCGTCGACGTCCTCGATGCCTACCTCCCTGACGAAACACCAGAAGCGAGCGCGCGCGTCGACCGGCAACGTACTCCCTATGGCGGCCAATCCACATTCGCCTGCCATCGCCACCGCCAAGCAAATGGATGCGAAGCGCAAAAGACAGCAGAGAAACCCGAGAAAAATCAAATCGCAAGGTGAGCGCGGCCACCGCGGCCCGTCGCCCCCCCTTCCTCGCAGCCCCTCGGCGCGGGCAGCGAAGGGGGGGGGCGCCCCCCCCCTCTCTTCGCCCCTGCGCCCCGAGCTGCATGCGCGGGCGACGTTTCCAAGGTGTCCGCGCGCGTACATTATGAAGCACTCACCCATGCCTGCCCGGGCCTAAATTGCACCCAAGTACCAGACGGTGGGGTCCTCGGGCGCCCAGTGCATCCGCTGCGGAAGGGAGGCGTGCACCGCCGAGGCTCGGTCCCAGCTCGACTGCAAGTCGCGCCAGCCTACACGCCTGGGCCAGATGCGCGCGGTCAAGAGCCAGCAAATGGCAGGGGCCCAGGCCTTGGCTTGCTCTGAGGCCGTCAACCTGACACCTGCAGGTGGCAGCCCTGATCGAAGCGGAGGTCGCTGCCGAGCGCGCGGCCCCCCAAGCCCGCTGCGCCGAGGCCGGGCCGAGCGACGACCTGGCGGACGGCAGCCTGCAGTCGCGACCGCCTGTGGACGAGCCTGCGGGCTATGCTACGGTCGCGGAGAAGGCGCAGCACCTGCTGAGGGTTGCCACGGGGCGCGCTGCGGCTGAGGCGCCTGGTCAGTATGGCAAGTCGAGGTGCGATCCGATGGGGGCCTCCGTGCAGCCCTGCCCCCCCCCCCTGTGCCTGCCCGAGGCCGCAGGGCCCAGGCGGCGGCTCGCGCGTCGGCCCCGCCCGCGGTAAGTAATGATCCAGAAAACTGATGACCTCTGCGGGCGCCACGCCCGCAATCAGCGGACACTCCCACACTGAGCAGGGGGCGCTCACAAGGTCTACCATCCCTGACGAAACACTGTCGGCGTGTGGAAGATGCTCTTCCGTTCGTCGTCGTCGTCATCGTCGTCGCCGTCGCCGTTCCCCACCTTTCCCTGGGCCCTCCTCCTGAAGCGCGCCAGCCAAAACGAATTAAGCAGCATCGTAGTTGAGTCGAAGGGGAACAATTCCCTTTGATCCCTTCCCCGCCAAGGGGGGGGTCGCCAAGGGGGGTCCCGGTTAGGAGTCCCGGGTCAGGATGCCATCCACCCCGGGGGTTCTTGGCTCCAAAAGATCCCCGAGAAGGTCCAAGAGTGCCACAAGAAGCCCCCAAGACGGTCCAAGAGAGCCCCGAATCGCCGAACGATCGGTCCAATGCGCCCAAGATGGCCTCCAGACTGCCCAAGGGCATCCACGACGCCCAAAGAGGCCTCCAAGAACAGTCCCCAGAGGGCCCCAAGGGGCGGAATCAAGAGATGTCCCTCGGATTGGTTTTAAGATTGTGGCTTTCTCGCGTTTTCTGATTGACGACGCTTCAAGAGAACCGAAGAAGCTCCCAAGAATCACCACAAGACGGCCGAAGAGGCCTCCAAGAGGCCCCAAAGCGGCCCAGGAGGCCCCAAGACGCCTCCAAAACCGCCCAAGAAGCTCCAAGAAGGTACCCAGACGCGGGACCCGAACGGACATTTCGAGCCCTCGGCTCCAAGAGGCTCCCAGGAGGCCCCGAGAAGCCCCCACGAGGCCCCAAGAGGCTCCCAAGATGCCCCCAAGAAGCCCCAAGAGGCCCCAAAGAGGCCCCCATGAGGCCTTCAAGAGACGCCAAAGAGGCCCCGAAAATGCTTCCCATAAGCTCCCGAGAGCGCTCCGAAGAGACCGCCAGAAGCATCCCTGAGGACTCTAACCCACGTCAACGTCGTCGTCGTCGTCGTCGCCGTCGTCGCCCTTCATGGTCGGCGGCACCGGCCGCAAGGCCTTTGCAATCTGGATCATGCGCGGCCACCCCGCGATCATTGTCAAGTGGTTTTTGACAGGGACAGCGGGGTGGCGGCGCATGGTCTGCTGTGCGTAGGCCCACCAGACACAATGATGGGCTTTGGTTTTCGACCAGGATGGTGGGGTTCGGCATGTTTCCCGATTTGTGCTGTCACGCGCGCAGGCGCACCTGACACACTCTGCACGTGCCCCGAACGTGGCGCATCTGGCGAGGCTGGAGTATGCGGCACACCTGGCGCACGCGGAGGCACGTGGCGCATCTGGCGCACCAGGCGTGCCTGGCACGCTCGGGCCCCAGGGGTGCCTGGCGCGCGTGGCGCGCCTGGCACGCGTGGCGCACCTCGCCCCAGCGTCACGCACATGGGCTCGGTGTTGGTTCCCAGTAGCTGCCCATCCAAAGATGACCGCTGAACATGCTGAGGCTCGGGTGTTACCTTTGTGTTAGAAGGGCGGGTGGGAGTGATCTAGACGACGTGCTATCTGGAGGGTGTCATGACCCCTCCTCCCACCCCCTCCCCTGGACCTGGACGGGGGGTCCCGCGAGGGGTTGGAGCGTCCAAGATGGCCCAAGATGGCTCAAAGAGCGCCTCGGAGAGCCCAAGATGAGCTCCGAGATGGCTCAAGATTTCCAAGATGCTTGAAGATGGCTCCCAAGATGCTCTAAGAGGCCCCAAGACCGCTCCAAGACGGCTCCAAGTGGCCAAAGAGCGCCGCCAGGGAGGCCCCGAAGAGGCCAACATCCGTCGAAACCCGAAGGAAATCACTGTGCTTTCCTTTATCGCCGTTTCGCTTCTGATAGCCATCCGAGGCCTCAAGATGACTCCAAGATGGCCCGAGAGGGCTCCGAGAGAGGCTCACAAGAGCCCCCAAAGCGCCCAAGAGCGCTCAAGAGCATCCCAAGAGCGCTCCAAGAGGGACCCGTCCTCTGCGTGCTGCCCACTTCCATGATCGAGGCACTTCCCTGGGCATCGTCTCTGGATGGGCTGGAAGGGTTACGCGAATCGTCTAGAATTGTTTGCTATTCGTGCGGAGTGCAGACTCTTGCGGTATCGTGCACGTCGTGCTCGGGGCAGCCCATCGCACCGAGGCCGAGGCGGGCGCGGACTATTGCCGACGGCGCGAAACGCAAGGAGTGCGAGAACCGAACCCAGAAGATGAGGGAGCAGAAGGTGGCCAGGCAAGGGACGCACAGAGACATACTAATACTACATGTCCGCCGTGGAGGCGCGCGTCCGACCCGAACAACTAGTATACCCATCTTGTGGAATATCGTTTCCCGAGCGGTGCTAGAAAGCGCCCGCCGCGGCACATTTACCATAAGATCTCTCGGTGCGCGCGTCGCCCCCGGGGGGGCGACGGAAACATAGTATCAGTATGCTGGGGGGACGCCGAAGGCAGGCGTTGGAGGCTGCAGCAGCGGGCTCCATCGCGGCGGGCGCTGGCTCGGCGCTGCGCCGCCTGGCCGCTCCGCGGCCAGCGCGCCCGCTCGGAGGTCGACGCCACCCGCGGGGGCAATTGAGAAATGGAGGGCGGGGGGCACCTCGTCCCCAGGCGAACGAACTGCAGGACGGGAGGCGCGCGGCAGAGGGCGGCCACGCCCCCACGTCTTGCGTGGCGGGCGGCGACTCTTTGAAGGGGAAACGTGAGGGGGGGGCCAGCTCAGGAGGAGGAGGAGGAGGAGCAGGAGGATGAAGAGGAGGAGGAGGAGGAGGAGGAGGAGGAGGAGGAAGAGGAGGAGGAGGAGGAGGATGGGGGAGGAGGGGAAACGTGAGGACATCAACTTGGCATCGGCGATGCACCGCCGACACATCGGCGATGCATCGCCCCCGATAGCGAAGCCGCAGGCTCCCGAGCGGGGGCGGGCCCACAGGCCCTCTCGGCGAGGCGATTGGGGGTCGATGCACCCCCCCCCCTGAGCCTGTCCCCCCTCACGCTGTGCCCTTGCGCCCCCACGCTCCGGCGCTCTCGCGCTCTCGCGCTCTCGCGCCTTCGCGCTGTGCGCCTTGCGCACCTGCGCGCCATTGTGCACGTCAGAGCGCTCTCGCGCCTTCGCGCTGTGCGCCTTGCGCTCTTGCGCGCCCTTCTGCCGGTCAGAGGCCCTCGCCGTCGCGTGGGGTGGGGGGGCTAAGGAGGTACCGATGCCGCTGCTCCTGGGACCTCTCCCTGGGGGGAAGGGGGCAGTCCTGACCAGGCTAGGGTCTCGAGGTGTGGCGACGAGGGGAGGGAAATTGGCGGTATCGGTTTAAGGCGTCCAAGGGGTCTGAGCTGGACGTACCCCGTAGAATCGGTCAAGAGCTGAGCAGGGACCGACTTTCTCGGCATTCCTATAGGCCTACCACGACATCTCTGAGTGAGAACCAAAAATGTTCGACACGCAAAATCAAGTGTTCCTCATACGGAAAAATGGTACATTGAAACAAAACAATCAGAGCCAGAACATGTGATCAGAACACTTCGTGCAAGCCACAACAAGTTCTTAGAACATTATTTGGTGGGCCTGTAGGCGAGTCAGGACGCTTCGCCACTGCTTCAAAGACAGGGGGTGAAAGCAACTTTGCTCAAAATCGGTCCCCCGAACCCTCCCGAACTTCAAGCCGACCAATGTGTCGAGCCGCGTCCAGCCCCGCCCCCCCGCCGGCTCCAAGGCATCGGAACCTGTTCCTCCTCTGAGCTCCAGGTCCGCTCCGCCGGTGCGTCCGCCCGCGCCCAGCGCGTCGTGCTCCTCGGCGCCGCTCGGGAGCATGAGCGCGCCGGCGCCCGCCACGGTCATTGCCACCGCGCCAGCGGCCAACATGGCGGGGAGCGCCAGCGTGGGCGCCACGAAGCTCTCCATCGCAGCGAGAGTCAGGTGGGTGAACTGCTGGCCGAGCACGAGGCCGCAGTTCAAGAGGGCCATCTGCAACGCGGTGCTGACAGGGAGCCCCCGCTCCTCGGCAGCCTTGTTGCTGGCGGCGATGAGGCCCCAGGGGATGCCCTGCGAGCCCACGCAGGGTAGCACCGACAGCGCCATGCAAGCCGTCGCGAAGTCGGCATTGTGCTTCACGAAGAACGCGGCCGCGTAGCTAACGCCCGCCCCGACAAAGATGCAGGCGGCGTAGACGCCCTTGGGGGGCAGCGAGGTCCTGTGGAGGGCGACGACGAGGAGCAGGGACATGAGCAACTTCAGCAGCGAGCCGCACTGCCCCCCGTACGCGAACGCCTCCTGCCGTGGTCGAAATACCTATCCGTATCCGCGGCCTCGCGGGCTGGACCCCTGGGCCGCGACACCGCGGATACGGGCCGTCGCTTTGCGGATGCCCCGCGCGGGACGTCTCCGTGCGTCTCGCAGCCCAGAATCCTGACCGCGAGAGCGTGGATGCAGGAGAAATCAAAAAGTGCCAATACCGCTACTCCCCGGACCTCTCCCAGGGTGCGTTCTGTTCAGAATTTCGAGGCGAATCCCAAGGTGGCGACGAGGGCCTCCCAGGAGGCCAAAAAAGAGGAAACCGGGCGAAGGGTAGCAGTATGGGTACCTTCTCCTCCTCTGAGATTCGGACATCTGTCCCCCGCTCGTGATCCTGGCCCGAGGCGTACGAGCGATGGGCCGCGGAGCCTTGGGGCGCGAGGGGATCACCCGCGAACACGCAGAGGCCGAACCACTGCACGGAGTACGAGAGCCACACCGTTGCGCCGACGAACACCAGGCAATGCACGCCGGCCAGCCGCCTCAACAGGAGGGAGCTCCCCCGCACGGCCTCCAGCACGTCCGACACGGGGCTGGACTGCCTTACAGTCGACCCGTCTCATAAGGACACACGATCAGGATGCAAGGGCCTTGGAAGGCCATGTCGACACTTTGCGAGCGGGGCGCGGCCAGCGAAAGCGGCCAAGGATGCAAGGGTAGCCTTGGGAAGGTTGCCCATCCTTACCATGCGGGTTGACTGTACGAGAAAAAACGGCACAGGCATAACTGTTCGGAGGTCTGGGCGGATGGATCTCCTGGCTCTGCGCAAGCCCCCCCCCCCCCTGGCGCGCGGAGCGCGCCAGGGGCGGCGCCGGACGCGCCGCCAGGGGGGCCCAGCGCCGATCCAAGATATCCGCACAGACCTGCCAAAAGTTTGTGTTTGTGCCATTGGTTCCTCTGCGAGGCCTGGCGGCGCCGTCGACCGCCAACGGCTTCTCCACGGCCACACAGAGCATGACGGCGACCGCCGCCGTGAGAATGCAGCAAACCACGACCATGATCTCGAGCATGTGCTTCGAGAGGCCGCCGTCGCTGCCGTAGACCTTCATGGTGGAGAAGCCGACCAGGAAGCCGACCGCCTGGAAGCAGGCGACCAGCACCTGCACCTGCACCTGCTGGCCGCTCGACGCGAGGTCCGCCACCAGCACCCTCATGGGCGTCGACAGCGCGTTGAGCGCGATGTCGATGAGCCATAGCATGCAGGCCGCAAAGCCCGCGGCGGCGCTGGCGGGCAGCAGCGCCGCGCTGGAGGCGAAGAGGAGCCCGCACACCCACAGGGCACCGAGCGCGGCCACGATGATGGGCCTCCTGAGCACCGCTTTCAAGCTGGGGGGCAGGACCCGGTGACCCCTGCCCCGACGTGCTCGCGCCGTGGCACACCACCACGGCGGGAGACTGGGAGCCTGGGGCCGCTCTCGGCCTCCCGCTCTCTTCCTCGCCTGGCCCAGGGCCCGGACCACCGGCCCGGTGCGAGAGAACTGGCGCTGGCAGAGGCCTCCCAGATGGGCTCCGAGTGGCTGGGGTCCGAAGGATCGCGCCGCACCGCCGATGCATCGCCGATGCATCGGCGACGCATCGGCGATGCATCGGCAACGTCGGCGTGGCGAAACACGGGCTCCACATCGAGCCGCATCTTCTATGCATCGGCGATGAGGCGCGATCCTCTGGCCCCATCTACTCGGACCCCATCTAGGAGGCCTAGAACTGGGAAGGGGTCAGGACTTCTGGACAACCCGTACAACCAACAAGACTGAACATCATTTCACCGATCCCTCCCCCCACTGGCGTTGCCGCGGCCCCACTGGCCGACTGGCTTCGCGGGGCCTGTGCCCACCCTGGAGGGCGGGCTGGTGGGGCTGAGATGCCACGGTCCACTGAGGATGGGGAGAGGTTAGACGAGACTGGTATCCTTCGCCCGTAGGCGGAGGTCGACGAGTCGGACAGCGCGCCGATCAGCGGGCAGGTAAAGAAGCCGCAGATCGGGCCCGCCATGTTGTTGAGGGTGGCCGAGGCGGGGCTCATCCCGAGCGCCACCAAGTAAGGCGCGCTGCACGGCATGATGACCGACCACACGACCGTAATGGACAGGCACGGGAGCGCGACGAGGCTCAACCGCCACAATGGCCACTCCTTCTGCGCTCCCGACTTGCCGGCGCACCCTGATGGCTCCTTGTTGAGGAGGGCGATGGCTTCCCCCTGCCCCTTCGGCCTCAGACGTGCCGGCGTGCTGATGAGGGCGAGGGCGTCCCCCTGCCCGGTGGCTCAAAGATGGGCCTGAAGGATGGGGTCCTAAGGACGAGGTGCCTCAAACAATGTAAATCCACCCTTGGATCCCTTCCTATCCTGAGGTCCCCGTCTCAAGACCCCACCTTTGCACCAATGACCTGCCCTTTCGTCTGCGCCATCGCACCAACCGCCGACATCCGAATCGGACCCCCCTGAACAGCGGCGGCGTGCCCGCTCGCGCGCGTCCGGGCGTGGGCGAAGGCTGGGATGCAGCGGCTCAGCGGCTCGACGTCCAGGAAACCTCGAGCCAAAATGGCCATGGACTAGTACCTCGAGGCAAGATGTGGAGTATCCTCGGGTCCCTTCGAAGTTACGGTTTACAAAGACGAAACCTCCGATTCACGCATCTCTGGGTAAGCCAAAAGGTACCGATGCCGCTACTCCCCGGTGCGTTCTGACAAAGATTTCGAGGCGAAAACCCAGCGGTGGCGACGAGGGCCTCGCAGGAGGCCCGAAAAGGGCACAACGGGCCAAGGGTAGCGGTGCGGGCACCCTGTTCTCTTCTGAACCTCTCGACCGCTCCAGAAGCGGGAGGAGCCAGAGGCGGGCCACGAGGGTCCCAAGAAGCCACTGAGGGGGGGCCACGAGGCCTTCAGGACGGCCCGAGAGCGCCTCAGGACGCCCGAGGTGGCCGCAAGGCGGCCGGACATGCCCCCAGGAAGACAAGAGGGCTGCAGGAGGCCGCCAAACAGGGTCCCAAGAGGTGAAAATCCTCCTCCTCCTCCTCCTCCTCCTCCTCCTCCTCCTCCTCCTCCTCCTCCTCCTCCTCTGCCTCCTCCACGCGCCAGGGAGTCCCGAAAATGGTCGACCGAGATGATCTATGATGTGTTTCTATATGTGTTTCTCCTCAACGCTACGAGACGGCCCAGGAGGCCCCTAAAATCGCCCTGACACAGCCCAAGAGGGGCCCCTCAGAGGCCCAAACCAGGGCCAAAGAGGCCCTCGGGAGGTCCCCAAGACGCCCGAAGATACCTCCAAACCCGCCTCCAAGAGGCTTCCGGGAGGCCTCTCAAGAGATCCTCACAGGCATCCAGGAGGCCAGTGATCCACAACCCCCATGTACAGAGGCGGCACGGACCGAAGGCCACCATCATAGACTGGAACCACGCGCGCGATTCGAGCGCGACTGGCCAGACATAGGGACGTAAGCACAGGAACACTCGACATTATGATCCTAGCCTGGCACAGGCACAGGATTCGGGCTGATCCGATTGGGGAAAGGGACGACGCAAAAGGCAGGAGGCGCGAGCACACATAGAGGGAATGATGAGAAGAGGAGGGGCGCAAGGAGCGAGCGAGCAAGGAAAAGCGGAGAAGGGGAAGGAGGGGGGGGGGTCAGGAGGGGCGATGGGGAGAGGCCGCAAGCATGATGGGCGGAGCGACGAAGAAGCAGGAAGATCAGATGGACAGGAGAGGCAGCGGGAAGGCGTGGGTTAACAGAAGAGGTGTTGCCCTCCTTATCATTATCCTCATCATGCTTCCATGCTGTCTGAAACCTTCACTTGGCTTTAGGGGTGTTCTTGAGAGCCGCCTGGGAGCGTTGTTGGAAAGTTCCTGGGAAACTCATGGGAACCATGGAGGGATGGGAGAAGACGCGTGTTCGTCGCATTCATAGGACTTGCGCCCAAAAGAACGGCCATATTGGACAACCGCGACTGGAAACATCGATGGACCAAACAAGAGCATACGAAGCTCACGTTGCGAAAATGCACGACGCCGTAAGGTTGTCGGCTGTTTCGGGAAGCCTATGTCGGGCCTCCTGGAGGATGGGTAAGGTGTTTCCTGGGAGCCTCGCCGCAAACAAGTAAATACATAAACAAACAACAGACAACACACAAGAAACATCCTCACCGCAAAAGCCGACTGCAGGCCCGAACCAAGGGATGCCGAGAAAGTGCGCCGAGGCTCTCGCTCGCTCGGTCGCGCGAGCAACCGAGTGACAGGGATAGCGAGCATGGAAGGGGGCGGGGCGAGCGAACGAGCAGGGGGGGGGGGGGCGAGCGAGCGAGCGAAGGGGCGAGCGAGCTAGGCGGGGCAAGCGGGCATGGGGTGGCGAGCGAGCGAACGAGCGAGGGCGCGGGCGAGCACGGAGGAAAAAGGCGAGCGAGCGGGGGGGCGAGCGAGATGGGCAGGTCGGTTCAGGCGGTCGGGACAATGGAAATGCTTCGTGCTCGCTCGCCCGCTCGCTCAAGCGGGCGAGCGAGCGACCGAGCGAATAGGGCAGGTCGGGTCGGGCGGGCGGGACGCTGAATGCACGGTGCTCGTTCGCTCGCTCGAACGAACGATGGGGCGAGCGAGCATGGGCGGGGGGGAAAGCGAGCCAGCGAGCGAGCCGGCCTCTCGCTCGCTCACTCGAGCCTGCGAGCTAGCGAGCGAAAAGGGGCAGGTTGGGTCGGGCGGGCAAGACATTAAATGCATGGCGCTCGCTCGGTCGCTCGCTCGCTCGAGCCAGCGAGCGAGCCGGGCGAGTCGGCTCGGGCGGGACAATCAACGCATGGCGCTCTCTCGCTCGCTTGCTCGGGCGAGTCAGCGAGCGAGGGAGGCGGGGTTCGGTCCTCTTATTCGCTCACTCGCATCCATGAGCGAGCAAGCAAGCGAAGGAGGGAGGGAGTCGGTCCTCTCGCTCCCTTGCTCGTTCGCTCGCTCGCTTGCTCGAGCGAGCGAGCAGGGCGGGTCGGTTCGAGCGGGCGAAACATGGAATGCATGGTGTTCGCCGGCTTGCACGAGCGAGCGAGCGAGCGGGGCGGGTCTGTTTGCGCGGGCAGGACACTACATGCGCGGCGCTCGCTCGCTCGCTGGAGCAACTGAGCGAACGAGCGAACCAAGTGCTCGAGCGGGCGAGCGAGCCGGGCGGGTCGGTTCAAGCAGGCGGGACATGGCATGCACGGTGCTCGCTCGCTTCAGCAAGCGAGCGAGGGAACCGCCGTGCGAGCGGGGAGGGTCGGGTCGGGCGGGCGGGACACTAAACTCCCTGCGTTCGCTCGCTCGCTCGCTCGAGCAAGCGGGCGAGCGAGGAAAGGAGGGGGTCGGCGCTCTCGCTCGATCGCTCGCCTTCTCGAGCGAGCGAGCGAGAGGTCTGGGGGTCAGAATGGGGATGATGTCAGACCGCTCGCCCCCCCTCACTCTGCTAGAGACGTGCGTTTCCCCATGAGGGGCGGGGCAATGGCTGCATCTTGGCGCTCTCTTCGGGGTCCCCTTGGAGCCCTTGAGGCAACGCTGAGGCCGTCTTGGAGCGCTCATGGGCCCTTGGGCAACGTCGGGGAGTTCGCGGGTCGCGCTGGAACCACCCTGCGCCGCCAGCAGGAAGAGCAGGAGGACGAGGAGGAGGAGGAGGAGGGGGGGGGGAGGAGAGAGAGGAGGAGGGAGGAGGAGGAGCGACCCGCGTTCAGGAGGGGGGAGAGGGAGGTCCACCCCCCGCGCTGCTCTCTGCCCTACCTCCCCTGGGCGCCCCTGAGCGGCCAGCTCTGGCAAGCGCAGCAACCGTCGGCGATAATCGCGCCGGCGTGCAAAGCCGCGACAGGACGAGGCCACGGGCGCGCGCGGCGCCGGGGGCAAGAGAGGAGGAGCGAAGAGACTGAAAAGAGGCATGCAGACAATCAAGAGCAATACAGGCAGACAGAAAAGCATCGCGATCGGATGGGAGCAGATGAGGAAGAAAGGAGGAATATGGGTCAACACCATAGTCACGTGGAAGAAGACGGAGCAGAGTCCGGAGCACATGCACGCCACTCGGACATGCAACAAAGCGAGGGATATCATCTCCGCCCACAGCATAGCAACCGAATCGGCACCCCAAAACACCACAACATCAACGACGGGAAGTGTTTCAGATCTTAAACATGGCCTTGAGGAGAGACGTGGATATATATATATATATATATATATATATATATATGCAGGCAGGTGCTGCCCGCAAAGATGCAATCTCACCATGGCACGATCAGCGTCAGCAGGGGAGTAGTCATTCGACGTCCGCATACGGGGCGGCATAATCGAGGCAGTAGGGGATTGGGAAAGTCACGCAGAACACGTTTATGAATATAAGCACGCAAACGTTTACAGGCACATCAACAGGGAGGGTGAATACGATAAAAGCTGTCACACCCAGACATTATCAGCAGTAAGATCGAGTGGGCACTCATCTGCCTGCACCACCAAGCAACGCGCACTTCATCCAAGATGCACCAGGAGTCCAGGAGGGAGAGCACTGGGCGAAACTCTGGCTTCTCGTGGCAGCGCGGGCGAGACAGGCGCAAGCGTAGGCCCCCAACCTTCGGGCCTCAACTTTGCGCCCCACATTCTTCAGATCGAACAGGGAGTTCGGAGGGGAGCTGCGCCCAGGAGAGCAGGTGAGCAACTGCAGCCCGTCGTTTTCAAAACGACGTGCCAGAGCGCTAGGATGGTGAGCCTGAGCCGCGTGGGAGATCACGAGGGGCCCATAGACGCTGCTCGCCGCAATGCTGCTAGAGAGCCCCAGACCCATATAGTTTAACCAGAAGCACCTCTCATTCAACTTCGCCAAGACAAGGTCCCAGGAACGCTCAGCAGAGCCAATCCAAACTCCCACCCCCAGGTACCACCCACATCTGGAGATCTGAAAGCTGCCAACTCGAAGCCCGCCTTCGCGGCAAAGCTGAAGGGCGTTCCTACATGCGCCAGGGTCAGGGAATACCAGCGGGCATTTACTTGCGTTCAAAAGCAGACCTGCGCCGCCCCCACTCAGCAACAGTAGCCGACAGAGGCGCTGGAGCGCACTGGTAGTGTCTGGAGCTTACGAATTACACGATACAAACATAGACTGAAAAATCATCCATTGAGAGGTGGCACCTTTGTTTAATTCCCCGGCAAAACATAACCACGCACGGCTCAGAGTTGATAAAGCTCACAAGCATACGACTGTCATGGTACATTCAGGAATACCGCAGCTACGAAATACAGCCCAAATATATTCGTGGTTGAAGCTGGGGAACGCAGCCAAGGTCGAAAAGGGCAAATCCTGCTCGCTTCTGAACGCAGAGGGAGTTATAAATCATAAGGTTGGCGTCTACCTCGATGATGTTGTCTATCATCTGGCGCCCTCTAAGGAAACCTTTTTTGGAGGCTCTGGACCATGTCATTG